CGCGATGGATATGTGCCATAGGAAAGGGGGGTTCCTACATCTGTCTGCCAAGAAAACCTAGCGGCCCTAACTTGTTAGAGAAACCTATGAAATGGCTTCATAGTGTACCTGCCCGCTCACCTTGGTAGTGACATGGGAGTAATTAACCGTGGGCATATGGGGATCACGGCTCATGGTGAATGTGCACCACCTCTGAGGAGGTAACAAACTGTTATAACAGGGCCATGCTCACGGTCACGAGAAGAGGCAGGAAAACTCACGAGAATAGATGGCTACTTATAATGTTGTTTATAAGAGATGATTATGATGATGTCACATGACTCAATTGGATCGGATATATGATCACGTGGGTTTAAAAAGGGAGCTTAAGCATAACTTAATAATAGATGAGGATAAAATCTTGAATCTACTAAAAGTGCTAATTATTTAAACCAATGTCATCCTTTTGAGCCTCATGAACCCCATGTTATCTTGTTAAATACGGGACGATTTACGCTTTGATTAATTTTCAATATTTGGATAAAAATCCCGGATGGGTAACAGATGACAACGGATATAAGGAGTTTCACGAGGATTATTAGGCTTGTGGTCAACCAAATCGACCGTCCCCACGATGGAGTTCCACGAGAGAGTTATCTTTTATCTTCCGCCGTGTGTTATGTAAGTCAATGTGATGCTATTATTCGTTATGTAAGATACACAGTGATGATACTTTTTATAATTTGTCAACTTATGTGTGTGACTGATCCCTGGGCACACATGAGTTTAGTGCATTCAATTTTATCCTTAAAATTGGGTGTGACAACTGAGCTAAAGCTAGAGCCATGTGGCCCTCACAGTTGTATTATAAGTCCTGAATAATCATTTACAGATAAGTCCTTAGGGAGAGGAATCTAGAGTACCATAAAAACAACCCAATGCTCTAGTCCTCTTGTTCCATGTTGTTAAAAAGCATCTTTTAGTGTTTATTACATATTTCATTAGTCAAGTTACAAGATCATGGCTTTGGTTTGAGCACTAGCATCATACTGCCCAATGCAATACCCGATAGGTAACAAGGTACAAGGTAACAAAGTACTAGAAAATCCTTAGTGGTAGTCAAGGTAGACACATGCAACATAAATTAAATGATTAAATGTGTATAGGATAACAAGGATGATCACATGCTATACTTGCCTTAAAACTCTGATCTTCTAGTCCAAATCTTCAAAGATCTGCTTCTTGATTCACCACGTATAGCTCACCGACTGGACATGTTCATAAAGCACCACACAAACATCCATACAATCATACACGAAGCAAATAATAGGACTAAATTAGAACAGTACACCAGCAAGTAAAAAGGTTTTAAAGACGTTCTATACGTTATTACGAACACACAGATGCGAAAAGCACTTTAATCGGAGCTATAACGAAGAAGTTATGAATTAAACAAGATTTTCCTTTAATAAAATAATAGATTAAATCTAACATCGAATTTCAAAAGTTGAAAATATATTTAACATTAGGATAAACATATAAATTACGTAATTACGAATCTAACGCAACTTGAATGGGTCAAAATCGGAGTTAAAACGAAGAAGTTATGGCCTAAACAAGGCTAGTGGCAAAACTGTAAATAGATGAAAATGTATTTTGAATCTACTAGAAGGAAACTACGCTTTCAGAATAGGGAAACGTATTATGGGAATATGCCATGGACTGCGGGTTGGAACTTAAAATCTTGCGGGGGCTCTTATGCAAAATTAGCGAAAGGGGGTATTTTTAGATAGGAGACTGTTGGATCTAAAGTGGTATGCTTGATTAAAAAGCGAGGAGGAGAGGGGGAAATGGCGGCGATGAAAAAAGTACATATAAGGATGGCGGTTCCTCCATTGACAGCGGCGAGAAGCTCGCCGACATACATGGTTAGGTCCCTAGAGGCCACGGTTTCGCAAACCGATGACACCGGGAGGTAGCAGGAATGATGGAGACCTCACCTAGGGTTTGCTTTCGCGCCGACCATGCCTCTACTCCTGACTTCTCCTCATTTCTGACATTTACAGCGGGCAGGCGTAGACGGGCGAGCTCTCTCGAACAACGGCTTGGCGACGGCAAAAGCAAACCAGAGTGAGAAAAGAAGAAAGAAGGGGCACGATGACTTCGCAAACTCGACGCGAAGCTCGGGATCGGCTTACGGTGGTAGCGGAGCGGCTAGGCGAGCACGGCGGCGTGAGCTCCTTCTCGTCGAGATCTAAACAACATGCTAGGGCTGCGGCTGCGTGGTGGCTTGAGACGGGGTTCGGTAGGGAGGCGGCGGTGGACATGGCCGGCGATGACCGAGCTCGTCGGCGCAACCCAAAAACGGTCCTAGAGACCACGATTCGACGCGGGGATTACACGGGGAGAAAGAGGACGACAAGGCGAACTCACCTCGACACTTTTTGTGGTTGGAGATGACACGGAGACGACACGCGGTGCTCGGCGACGGATGGCTATGGCGGCGCTAGGGCTGTGGTGGTGGCGCGGCGACTCGGCGAGCGAGGCGGCTGCTGCTGAGGGTTATGCGGTGACTCAGCGCGGTGTGGGCGGCTGCTATTTATGGCCCGAGGAGCTTAGCGCGCACGGCAAGGCACGAAGACGTGGCAGCGTTAGGCTTCCATGGCGCGGTGGAGAGTCCTGGGCGGCTACGTCGCAAGGAGGAAGAACACTGATAGACGGGTCCCACCAGTCGGCGACCAAAGGAGCGGGACCCGCGCATCAGTGGAACATGGCGGAAGAGAGGAGGAGGGTGTGTCCGCGTGTGGGCTTTCCTGTTGGGCCGCCAGCTGGGCTACGGGAAGAGGGAGAGAGGCCAAGAGGGGTTGGAGCCGAGCTGGGCTTGCTGTTGGGCTGTGGGATGGAGAGAAGGAGATGGGCCGCAGGGTAAGGCACCAAGGAGAGAGGGGAGAGGGGCAGGCCTTTGGGCCATAAATGAAAGAGAGGGAGAAGAGTTTTTTTTTTTTTTTTTTCTAAATTCTATTTTTAAATCTATTTTCAAACCATTTCAAAAGCATTTGAAATTATTTTTGGACAACACCACTCATCATAAAAATAAGTATGCATCAGCATGAATGCACAAAAATGTTTCTAAACCCTATGAGGAAATCCAATTTAATAAAAATTATTATTTACCTATGTTTTCTTAGCACAAAATACAAAATTAAATCAATTTATATCTTTTTCGAAAAGAGTAAATTTTAGGGTGTTACACGCTGCAATCAATTGACATGTCTATTTCAATGTCAGGATCCAAGAAAGTAACAGAGTTTCTTCATTGACCTAAACACGGACTTGGTCATAACTTTTAAATATAATCAGCCAACTGACTCTAGGATGTCTAGTTAAATGAATGAAAAGCTGGTGAGACACATGCAACAGACTAATTATATTTTAATCAATTTTGAACAATTAGATTTTAATGAAATTCATCCTAAGGCAGCTGATTATGTGGCAGGACTTTGCTCTGGCAATATTAGCAGTGGTAACTATGATTCTAGTGTATGAATTAAGCTTGTTTTAAATAAAATTTGAGACGCACTAACAGCATACAATCCAATCAAATAACTTCAATATTAATTCGGTGACTCCAGTAGTCCACTTGATCAAGCAAGACGCTCAATTCTTTCAAACAAGGTAGATGCTCTTACCAAGCAGATATGGAATATAAAATATGGGTAAAAAATGAAGTTTGATCTCCAGTAGTCCATTTGATCAAGCAAGAGGCTCAATTCTTGGTATGCCTGTGAAGATCTGAGATCCAAAGAACAGTGGCCTATGATGCAGTATCTTTTTTTATTCAGCCTATAATGCAGTCAATACACATCAAAGATGAAATATTATCATCTATTTTGTCACCTAGTGACTTGATCAACTAACTAGTGCTTATATACAGCCAAATATGTTTCTTTGGAACGTTTCATTTGACAGTGATTGTTGGGTAAGAAATCACACCAGCATCAAAGTTTGAACACAAGATAAAGTTGTATTCATTTCATGATCGTACTGTACATGTCAGATAGGGTATTTATAGGGGTCCTAGTCTTCGTACTTTACATAAAATGACTATTTTTTATACTCATAATGTTGTTTATACGATGATTATGATGATGTCACAACTCAAATAGTTACAACCCTTTCCAACTACAAGAGTGAAGTGGTCTTTTTCCCTTGAGTCTTCATTCTTCAACTTTGTACATCATCAGCTTTATTGATGTCTTTATCTTCTGAGACTTAGTCGATTAATTTTCAATATTTGATTTTCTTCTTCTCCCATAATGTTGAGGCGAAGTCAAACTCTTGTCTCCTTGTGGTCTAATCTTGCTCTTGCTTTCTTGATGAGAGTCACCATGAGAGATCTCTTTTATAAAAGAAAGAATGTAAGACAACGGATATAAGGAGTTTCAGTCAAATTTTTCACCTTCGCTTTACTTCTTTTCCCTGCAAGTAAACTTTGTTATAGAAATTACAATTTTAACTCCAAAGTTTTAGGGGCTTATTTTTCTTGGCGAAGTTAAATCTCCAACAGTAGTCCCTCGCGGGTGAAGGCCTACTCCAAAGGTCTAAATCCTGCGAAGTTTGGATTTAAAATGTAGACATAAAATATCATCCCAAACTTTGGAGTTGGCCGTTTCTAGCCGTTAGATTGTGAACCGTTGTTTGTTTTTGAATTGCAACGGTCGTATTTGATAGTTGGAAGCAGAAGCGTCAGGTTTGACCTGAACCCGCCTATATATACTTTGGTCTCTCCCCCTATTTTTGCTACTTTATCGAAGACGGGGAGGTTCTGCTAAAATTTTCTTTGAAGCAAAGTCAAAAAATTTAGCGGAGCCAAACTCTTTTCTGAAGACTATTTCTTTCTCGGTGGTGAAAGTTTTGTTGACTAAAGATTAGTTTTAAATTTGTTTGTTTCTATTTTCTTTCTTTCTTTTGTTGTTGTTGTTATTATTATTTATCTTGATGAGAAGTTTCTTATTTTCTAGATGTCTGATCAAGAGAAGAATGCTTCTACAAACTCTCCATTTGGATCTAATCAGTCTGACTTGGGTGAAGATTTATCAGATGTTTCTGCGTTTGAGTCCGAGTTGATTGTTGATGACACGAAGTCTTTGAAGTTTGGCCAAACTTTGATGGATGACAACGAATTAGATTGGATGGTGACTAATCGGATGGTGGAGAGGGCATCTGTTTGTTTGCCTGGAAATGAAGTAGTTCCTGATCCGAAACCTTACGAATGTGTGGTTTTTCGGGATCAATTTGCAGTTGTACTTTGTATGTCGTGTCAAGACTTTCTTGAAGAACTTTTGAAGGCATATAAAATAGAAATGCATCATCTGACTCCTAATGGAGTAGCGAAGCTTGCTCTTTTTATTTGGGCAATAAAGTCTCAGGATGTAAACTTGGATATCAGGGCCTTTTGTGCTCTTCATGAGATGCATACTCAGTTTAGGAGTAAGAATGTGGATGGGAAGACTATTATCAAGTACTTTCTTTGTTGCAGTTTTAAACCTGCTCGAGGTGCTAAGCAAATTTTTCCAGCTTCCAAGAATAAATGATTGGAAAATTGGTATTGGTACTGGTTTTACCATACGGTTCCAATGGTTGAAGAAAGGGATGAGTCAAGAAAGATTGTGAAGGGCTATCCTTTGGTTGCGAAGATGGGAAAGAATGTTTTTGATTGCAAGCCTGAATTTTCCAGTACAAAGAATTCAAAGATTTGTGAGAAGGCTTACAAGCTAACTGTTAATCTGCAAAGTGCTCGTAATTTTTACGAAGAATATATTACAGCTCGAGTTTAGCCTCTCAAGTAGGGTTGGAGTTTTATTCGTTTTCATAAGAAAGTTATGAGGGGAAAATATTATATTTATCCTGACAAAGAAGCTTTTCACCCGAAGAAGTATACAAGAGATGAAGATTTTGTTTCTGTTGTTAAAGTTAAGACAGTTGAGATTCTGGGCAAATTTTTGAAGAAAGAGAGATTTGATAGACAAAATTTTTGGGAAAGATTACAAGCGTTTGAATAGAATATTTGAAATTGCCCAAATCAAGTATGATGAAAGACCTCCACCAGCGTATACTCGTGTAGCGAAGCCGCAGCATAGAAAATGTTACAAAGGAGAAAAGAGCTGGTGGACAACTTGCTAAGAAGACTAGCAAGAAAAATAAGGTTTCAACTTCTTTTGATTTAGAAAAGATTGCAGAAGATGAAGTTGATTTGGGTCTTGATGTTAATACTCAAGAGGTTCTTAGTCAGCAAGCTAGTGATGATAAGGTGAGAATGATTAGTTTAGTTTTTAATTCTAGTGGTTTGACTCCGCCAATGTTGACTTCGCTTGGTGACTAATTCTAGAATTTGGGGGCCACTTTGCATTCTGGTGAAGATGTTGGTAAGGCTAGTTTGTCTTTGCCTCCGAAAAATATTGTCAAAGAAGCTTTGCCTTCTTCCCCAGCTATTCTGGCTTCTTCTCCTGTTCTTAATACTGGCAGTGCTGCTGATGCAACCGCTACTGTTGATGTGCAAATGGAAAAAGGTGAGATTGATACTATGGCTTCGTAGCAAACTGCTGGGCCATCTTCTCAAAGATTTGTTGTTGAAACTCCTCAGGAAACTATAGGAGATGTTGGTGCTACTCTTCATGTTGCCTCTCCTCCTCGAGTTGTGATTCATGATTCTGATTTGGGAGGTGGGCCTATGGAAACTGATGCTTCGAAAGTTAAAGCTGATAAGGGTAAGGGTACTACTACTGTTACCCTTGATTTTGATGATTCTGATGAAGATGTATTTGACAAAGAGGCTAAAAATGCTTGGCCTTCTCGTCTTACTGAGTCCACAATTGATGTGAATACTGGTGAAAAAATTGCATGTCAACTTGAAAAGGGTGTTTCTACAGGTAAGTTTGTTCTTCTCTTTTTTTGTGTGTTGTTTGATTTGTGTTTTAAGTTTCTATTCTTATTTTAGACTTCTTTTTTTATTTTTTGTGCAGAGGAATTTTTTCCTGATCCTTTATCTCAGAAGGAGACTACTGTTGATATTGGAAAGATGAAGGATGTAGCTCAGGAGCCTGCTACACCTGCCGAAGCCTTAGAAACAATTCCTGGTGGAGTTGACCCTGAGACATATAAAAGGTGCATGGAGTACTGCCAAGCTCAAGGTGTGAATTTAGACACTTTTAAATTTGTTGGGATTGGCTTGGATAGACTTCGCATTATGCCAAAGAAGTCAGGGCTAAAGTTATCAAAGTATATTGATGATGCCTTCGTAGTTCCTGATGCTGAGGCTCAACTTGCTAGAAAATCTTCCCTTGAGTTGGCAGATGCAAGTGTTACCATGGTTTATAAGGTACGTGTGTTTTTATTTGACTTCATATGTTAATTTGGCTTCACGACGTAATATTTTATGGTATTGAATTTTGTAGACTGCCCTTTTGCAAAGGAGTTTACGTAAGTCTCTTGAAGAAGATGCGAAGAATGCAGCACTTCATGAGAAAGGTTTGCTTGAAGAGATTAGGTCTTTGAAATCTCAGCTTGCTGCTAAAGAAAAAGAGAGGGTAGAAATAGTTGAAGCTCTCCATAATATGGAGTCAAAGTGTATCTCTGTTGGGGCCAAGCTTGAGACAAAAACTGAAGATTTTGATAATTTGAAGAAAGATTTTTATAAGATTGTGAAGGAGAAAATTTACCGTGAGAAAAAGTCTGCTAAGAAATATTAAAATTTTCATGACAAGTGTAATCGTCTTTGGGAACTTTGTAAGAATTGTTATGACAAGTTTGGTGTGAAGCCAGAAGATCCTTGCTGGGAGCTTGAGGAATTTGATTCATTCTTTGCTTGGTTGTGCCGTCAATATGAGGATTTATCAACTGTTATCTAAACTAGTGCTGATTTGAGTTGTGTGTACGCAACTCGTGCACTTTTCCATTTGATGAAAGAGGCAAAATATTTTTTTATATGAGCGAATGCTAGATAAAGATTATAAGTTTCCTTCTGTGGAATCGTTAAGTCAAGTTTCTTCTTGGACTCAATTTCTTTGCAAGAAGTATTTCAATCAATATTGTAATTTAGGTGGCAGAGAGAGTGCTTTTATGAAGGCGAAGAAGAAGATGGAGAAGGTTAGATTGAAGTTTTTTGCCTCTTTTTTGGTCTACTTCTCTTTCTTTCTGCAGCAGCTTGAGAAGGAAATTACTACTGATGAGAAGGAGCAGAGGGAACAGGACAAGCGTGAAGAAGAGAGTGCTAGAGATGATGATGTTGGTGATCATCCATTTTAGTTATCTTCGTAGCTAGTTTTTAGTTTCTTAGTTGAGGGGTGAGGTTTTAAAAGACCTTTGATATTTGTAAATATTGAACTGGACAGGATGAAGTTGGTGTTATGCCATTGTTAATGTGTAAGGACAACTTTGTCGTTGAACCTTCTATGTGTGGTTGGAGTACGCAATGAGTGAGGCGAATCCTACGTTTGATACATTTGTTGAACGTAAGCTGACATAAGCGTTAAGTTATGATGTTTTTGTTTTTTGATGATGATATATGCTGTTTTTGATTTTGAATCTAAAAATCTTACTGTTGAAAACAAGAGGTCTTGTTTCCCACGTGTTGTTGACTTCAACAAATTTTTCTAGATAGTTGTTTATTTTTTATTTTTCTTTTTTTATCATGATATTTGAATATGATAAGTCATGCTTTGATACTCTTATTTTTTCAGTCATCGTGTTCGAAGTGCTTCGCCAAACTTTGTTTCTGAAGATTTTCTTTGCTCAAAAGTGGATCGTGTTTTGGATAAAGTTGTTGAAGACTTAATTAGTGAATCTGCGACTATTGTAGCTTCTGAAAGTGACTAACTATGACTTTTGTTGCAAACTTATTTCCCAGTGTTTGTATTATGTAATAAATGATTTCGTTTCATAATAAATTTGATTTTTATATTTTTATTTTATATTAATGTATAAAGTTTTGCGAAGGCAATGTGTAGACTTCGCTTGGAAGTTATAATTTACCTTAGTGAATTTTTAAAAACATCGTTTCCTTTTTTTTTTTTTGAAGACAACGCGTAGACTTCGCTTAGAAGTCATAATTCACCTTAGTGAATTTGAAAAAACACCATCCCTAATTTTTTTTTGTGAAGGCAACGCGTAGACTTCGCTCAGAAGTCATAATTCACCTTAGTGAATTTGAAAAACGCCGTCCCCTTATTTTTTTGACGAAGGCAACGCGTAGACTTCATTTAGAAGTTATAATTCACCTTAGTGAATTTGAAAAACGTCGTCCCATCACTTTTTTGCGAAAGCAACGCTTAGACTTTGCTTAGAAGTCATAATTCACCACAGTGAATTTAAAAAACGTTGTCCCCTCACTTTTTTTATGAAGGCAACGCGTAGACTTCGCTTAGAAGTCATAATTCACCTTAGTGAATTTTTTGCTTGTTCGAGAAATTATGCTACCTATTTTAGTTTTGTTTTAGCCGATATTTGAGTATTTTTGGGTATACTCTTCGACTTTTGTTTGTTTTGTTGTACTCGAAACTTTTTTAGGGGAATAGTTTCTCATTTATATTTGATGAGAATTTACAATAGAGACTGCCTCGTTAAAAAATCCACTCACCCTGTGAAGGGCTTCCCCTGAGTGAAAAAGAGTGCAGCTTGTTTACATTTGAATTGAATCTTTAGAATGTACAAACTATTCTACTTCTAGAGCAGAAACTTGTAATGAAAAAATAAAAGTCTAAGGGTAGTATCTTCGTAGTGCTTCAATGTTCCAGGTGTGGTCAATCTTATTCCCATTCATATCTGCCAAGTGGAATGATCTCAACTTATTTGTTCTTGTGATGAGATAAGGACCTTCCCATTTTTGCTAAAACTTTCCGACTGTATCTTTGTTTCTTTTTCTTTCTAGGACAAAGTCTCCGGGTAAGACTTGCCTTGGCTTTACTTTCTTGTTATACCAATTCTTTGTTTCTTTCTGGTATTTCTCGAGATTTTGAATTGCTTTCATTCTTTCTTCTTCGAGTAGGTCTTTGCTTGATATCTGCTCTTCTTCTTCCATGATTTGCACATTGGTTCTAGGACCTTCAAACTTTATTTCTTCAGGTGTCATTGCTTCTTCTCCATATAATAGGTTGAATGGTGTGAAGTTTGTTGATCTCGAAATAGTTGTATTGTGTGCCCAAATAACTTTAGGTAATTCATTGACCCATTTTCCCTTGGGAAGCCCCACTAGGCATTTTGAAATATCGGTGCATATGATTTAGTTTGCTCTTTCGCCTATGCCATTTGACTGTGGGTGTCTGACAGAGACAAAACATAATTAGATTCCCATATTTTGACAATAATTTCTAAAATCTTGACTGTCAAATTGGGTTCCATTATCTACTGTAATATGTCTTGGAACTCCAAAACAGCATATGATGTTCTGCCATAGAAATTTCTTCATTATGAAGGAAGACATATTTGTTACTGGCTTGGCTTTGATCCACTTTGTGAAATATTCTACTGCCACAACTGCATATTGGAAATTTCCTTGAGCTGGAGGCAACTTGCCTATTATGTCAGTTCCCCATCTTGCGAGTGGCCAAGTTGGTTCTATTGTTTGTAAGTTTGTTGCTGGAGCTTTTATCTTGCTAGCAAATATTTGACAATTGTGACAAGATTTTACTATTTCTTTACTGTCACTTTGTACTGAGGGTCAATAAAATCCTTGTTGGAATGCTTTCCCTGCCATGGCTCTTGCCCCTGGATGTGTGCCACAAATTCCTTTATGTATTTCTGATAGCAATTCTTTTCCTTCTTCTACTGATATGCATTTGAGAAGTGGTTCACAAATTCCTTGCTTATACAACTGATTGTTGATGATTTTGTAATTTCTTGTTCTATGTTTCATTCGGACTTTGTTAACTTCATCTTCTGGTTCGTAATGTCCATGAAGGTATGCCATGATTGGTGCTCTCCTGTCTTCGCTTTGTATTACATGAACTTTTCTTGGAACTTCTTGCTTTGCCTTGATAGAGGCATGAGTCACTACTTAGAAGAAGACATCTTGAGGCAAACTTGTATTTTGAGCTGCAGCTTTTGCTATTTCGTTAGCATCTGAGTTGGCTGTTCTTAATATATTTTTGACTGTGAAGCCTTCAAAGTATTTCTCTTGTTCTCTTAAAAATTACAAGTATTTCTCTAGCTCTGGATCTCTTGCTTTGTAATATTTTTCAATGTGTCCAGCCATAACCTGTGAATCTATTTTGATTATCAGTCTTTGGATCCCCATTGCTCTTGCTTTCCAGAGTCCGAGTAAAATGGCTTCGTATTCCGCAATATTGTTGGTGCATTGAAATTTAAGCATAGCAGCGTATCTCATTTTGACCCCTGAGGGAGATATGATTATTGTTGCTGCACCAGCCCCTGTGAAGACCCATGCTCCATCGCAATATATTATCTAGTCTAGTTGTTTTTTGTCTTTGCTTTGATTTTGAGATGGAGTCCAATCTGTCACGAAATCCGTCAAGACTTGAGATTTTATTGATGTTCTTTTTTTGAATTCGATGTAGTGCTGAGATAGTTCTGCTGCTCATTTTCCCAATCTTCCAAATGATCTGCAACTTTGCATGACTTCTTTCAGAGGATAATTTGTTAGTACTCTGATTTTGTTAGCTTGAAAATAGTGCTTCAATTTTCTTGCCGCAGTTAAAACTGCATAAGCAATTTTTTCAATCTTCGAGTAATAGATTTTTGAGCTAGACAAAGCTTCTGAAACAAAGTAGACTCGGACTTGTCTTTTTGTGTGCTCATTTTCCTGTTCGTCAACTAAGACTGCACTTACTATTGCTGAGACATATAGGAGGAATTCAACCCCTGGGGTTGGTGTTGTGAGAGTATTTGGCTTTGACAAATAACTTTTTTTTCTTCGAATGCATGTTGTTGCGAAGGTCCCGATGTGAAGTCTCTTTTTGTTCCCTTGAGTGCTTGAAATGTCGGTAGACTTCGCTCTACTAATTTTGAAATAAACCTGTTTAAAGCAGCAAGTCTTCCTGTCAATTTTTGGACGTCCTTTATATTTTTAGGAACCTTCATGTTCAAGATTGCCTGGACTTTGTCTGAGGGTTTGGATCGATTCCTTTTGTTGATACAATGCAGCCTAGAATTTTGCCATTTTGGACTCCGAAGGTGCACTTTTTAGGATTCAACTTTAAATTTGCTTCCCTAAGATTTGTAAATGTTTCTTGGAGGTCTTCGATGTGATCTCCTCTTTTCTTGCTCTTGACTACTATGTCATCAACATAGGTGAGTAGATGTTTGCCAATTTGTTCGCGTAGCACTGTTGAAGTCATTCTAACAAATGTTGTGCCAGCATTGCAAAGCCCCTCTACCATTCTTACAAAACAGTAGGTCCTGAATGGGGTGATAAAACTAGTGAATTCTTCATCTTCTTTTTTCATCCAAATTTATGATAACCAGAAAAACAATCCAAGAAACTTAGCATTTCACTTCTGGCTACTTGATCGATTAATGTGTCAATTCTTGGTAGTAGAAAATTGTCTTTTGGGCACGCTTTATTGAGATATGTGAAATCGATGCACATTTGCCATTTTCCATTCTTCTTCCTGATCATGACAATGTTTGCGAGCCAAGTTGTGAATTAAACTTCTCTTATAACTTTTGCATCAAGCAATCTTTGAACTTCAGCTTTGGCAGCCTAAACTCTATCTTTGGCTAGTTTTCTCAACTTTTGCTTTTTTTGTCTGACTTTTGGATCGATGTCTAGTTTGTGCTCAATTATGTCTCTGCTGACTCCTCCTAAGTCATTGGATGACCAAGCAAATATATCTTTGTTGCTTCGAAGGAATTCCACAAGTTTGTCCTCTTCTTCTTGAGAAAGTCAGTGCCATGTTTGTCTAGGACTAAAGGATCAAGAGGTATTCTTTTTGTTTATTCACAAGCTTGAGCTTTGGGTTGAGGCTTCGCATTTTCTGTTTCTTCTTTTTCTTCTTCAACCATTGTGTGAACATTCTTTTGTCCTAGAGTGTATTATTTTTCAATATTTCTTGCCTCAGTTTGGTCTCTGTGTACTGTGATTACTCCACTTATTGCTAGCATTTTCATACATAAGTATGAGTAGCTTATGACTGCTTTGAATGCGTTTAAAGTTCCTCTTCCGAAGACTGCAATGTATGGGTAGTACATGTCAACCACATCAAATTCTATTTGCTCTGTTCTTGCATTACTTACTATTCCAAAAGAAACTAGCAAAATTATTCTTCCAATTGAGTGGATCTTTTTCTCGT